AGAGAGAGAGAGAGAGAGAGAGAGAGAGAGAGAGAGAGAAAGAGAGAGAGAGAGAGAGAGCGTAGACGGAGACTAGACAGTGACTAGAGAAACAATTCATATTATTTCGTGTCGATCAGGCCTGCGAGACACGCCCCACTGCTCAGTATCCCCCGTGTAACTCTCACCCGCGAGTGAGCCTCGGGGTGAGCCCTGCTGGAGCCCTGGCCTGGGCCTTGGAGACCTTTGCAGCAGTGAGTCAAGTCCAGGTGGACCCCGGAACAGACACCATCTTGACGCACATGACGTGCACATGACTCAGTCAAAAATGTTTTCCGGACGGTATTCAACTGACTTGCGTAATTGTTCTTTTCGTCGTAGTTATCGCGTAGCCCCGGTCAAGTCCAAGGTCAAGTCTCTGATTGTGAGCTGCAGAATGCGCCCTGGACCCTGGGTTTGTCAAGGATGGGTGGGGGAAAGGACCCTCCTCCCCATGGTGTTTCTCGTTTTCGTTCAACCTGATGCTCGCCGCGGCCGTCAACAGGTTGGTCGTAGGCTGGCTACCCTGCTCCGGCGCACCACCCACAGGGTGCGGGGGCCACCTCGGGACGTGAGGCTGGCTGGGCTGTCTCAGCCTGCGGGGGAGATGCGATTGCGATCGCGACGTGACACTGCGAACAAACAACGCAGCGAAGGAGGCGCAGCTTTTGAGTTAATGAGAGATGGACTCGCGACAAGACTTTCCGCTTTGCCCCGCTCACAGTGCAGTGACCCGCAGCGCGGTAGCGGTGGGAGCCGATATGCGGCCGCTCCACCACCCCTCCCCACTCTCCCTCTCCCTCCCTGCTGGGAGAGCCAATGATGGATTGAACCTGCAGCCTGGCTGAGCGCTCGCGATCGGCTCCCCGTAGTGCAGCTTGCCTCAGGCTCACGCGCTCAGGAGAACAGGAACAAAACACAGAACCTATTTTCCTCTCTGGCTTCACACGAGGGGCCTGCATCTTGTTTTCTCTTCTCGTCAATGGAGTCGCTATTCGATAAAATTGCATCGCACACTTAACCCTTAGGCATTTTGTTGTGCATAAACTTTGCAGAATTTTATACAGCCATAACTATGCACAAATTTTTATGCATAATTGTGAACAAAACCTGCATAAATATGCACACACTGTACGCTACAGAACAGTGTTTTATCACTACATAGCTCCTTTTTAATCACCAGAAGACTTATTGTTGACGTGGATGTAATTTTGACATTAAATTGATAAAATATTGACCCTCTTGGGTTAATATCAAATTTCACAATCTCTAATTATGTCATGGTGACTAGTCATTAGCTGTGCTAGTCTGTAGGAAGTGATGTTACTACTACAATTTGACCAATTATTGATGAATCTGTGTTACCTGGGAAATGTTTGATGATGGCTCTTCACGACTCCTCCGCCGCGCGTGGACAGCTCTATTGTGATTCACAGTCTGTCCGCAGAGTCCATGGCAGTGCCAGCAGCGCGGAGGGCGGCGGCCCTGATGGACGCGCCGCGCCTGAGGATTGCCGCACATTACCGCCGGATAACGCCGCCCCGCCCACCCTATGGCGGCGCCCGCCTGCGGCCCGGCGGCGTCACGCCCCCAGGCTGGGCCATTGCTGTCGAAGTGTGCAAAAGTGCTGCTTAACGGCTCTATCATTCTCATATAACGGCCCGCGCCCCCTCCCTTCCGCCACGCGGCGTGCACCCTCTCCACCACCAGCAGCGGAAAGTTGCTTTACTAGAGTACTGCACCGAAAACAGAAGGTTCTTGAATCAAGTGATCTCTTTCAATACAATAAGTGCATGCATTTGAATAATTTGAGTGCATGCAGCTCCCTGTAAAGAATATCATCTAGATTAATAGCAAATCTCTGTTAATTTTTTCACTGACTCAGTGTTGTAGAACAACATCGACTTCTTAAGTAATAATGACCTTTTAAAACAAACAGCTCGATTTCAGTAACAACAAAAGTTTGTTCGAGAACAATAGAAAATTGTCTGTTGAGCAGCACCGAAAGTTGTTCAGAAACAACAAATGTTGCTGAACAGCAACGAAAGTTGTTCAGGAGCAACCGAGGGAACAAAGAAAAGGTGGTACATAGTTCCCTAAACGCGAGCGTGATTCTGGCTGCGTTAAGCTTACGAAACGTAAAAATCACGGTTGCGTTTCGTGACGTTAACTCTGTATCTACCCAAAGTTCCCTTTTGATGAGTATACTTGATTACCACCGATTCCCATGTGATTCCCGTCCGCTTACATTTAGTCCTTAGGTTTTCTCGAGGGTTTTCTAGTGGAAGAAGACGCTTATTTCGACTAATTTGTATCAGTTCTATTAGTTTCCCACTTAGTTTAATGATTTCTGTTGATTTCAATTAATTTTTATTCTTATGATTCCCAGGCAGGAGTTCATGACTTCCGTAGTTGCCCCCTCGACCTCGACCTGAAGAGTGTTGATGCTGTATGTGTTCTGTGAGTGCTGGGTGCGTGTGTCGGGAAGAATGAAATCGCTCCCTTTGTATCTCGTAGAGCACTTTACCTCTGCCCCCAATAGAGCACAACTTCTCCCATCTACAAAAGGTGGCAGGCCGGACTATACCGATTCTCCACTCCATCTGACGCGCGCAAGGATTCCTTTTCGGAAGTTGGCTGAACGTCGTGGGATATGAAATAGTTTGTGAGAGGGGAAGGAGGTCAGGAGGTTACAGGGGACTCATTCCCTCCGTTGTCCCATCGTGAGTTGTGGAATCATGTTAGACCTGTAGTGATTCTTGGTCGTGGAGTTGGAGAGTCCGAGAGATAATAATTTAAGTTCACCTTTACTTCAAATCTGTTAATGCTTGGCCACACCGTACCGATTTAATATTTTTACCACTTCACGGTAAAAATGATATCTTGTAATTCAAGAAGATTGCTTGAAATTCAAGGGAAAATGAGTTGGATTTCAAGCCATCTGCTTGAATTACAAGACAACGTTTTTACTGCGTGTAAGCTCTTGCGAACAACTACTTTTTGTAACGTACAAATGATTTGGAACCATGTAATACAAGCAAACTCTTTGAATCACGAAGATATTTGTTTGTATTACACACCCAAGGTGTTCGTAAAATGCAGGAAAGTGTAATACTGTGTAATTTTACACGCAAAATTCATTTTTCTTCCCGTAATTTCCCTGCACCGTGAAGAAAACCAATTATTGATTTTCTAATTAATCCTCTTTTGCTATCGCAAATTATGGCACGCAGTCTCGGGGCTACGTAGAGATGAGATTTATTCTCAGATTATTATTTTGCACGCCTCTGTAAATGATTCTCCGCAAGCACCCCCATACACACACGCAGAGCCGCGCAGAGCAGAGGCTGGGGTGCGGGTCGTGCCTCCCCAGACAGCCGAGAGCCCCCTCTCCTCCCGCGGTGGCAGCTTCGGCAGCGCCCCGCATGGAAATCCACCTCATTATCGCTAAACTGTCGGATATTCTTTTTATTTCGTTTCCTTTATTATCTCCTCGCCCCCATGCACCCCACTGTTTCTGAGTGAGCCGCTGACGCTGGAATGGGGAGTGGGCTCACGCGCCCACCGTGTGGCGGGGGTGGGGCGCCCGTTGCCTCGCGCTCGGAGGCGGTTATTGAAATGTCGCACTAGGGTGGGCTAATATACGTGTTAAACTTCGACCTCTCCTCCCCTCTCCCTCTATGGCTTCCTGGGTGTCCCACTGTGCGCCGCACCTGGAGGACACAGCGTGTCTCAAACACAGGCCGTTCGCGGTTCATTTAAAGAGTGAGACTGTCTCACACACCAGATGTTAGTGTAGCTCGGAGTGCCTCATTTGCGGTTACTTCACTGCGAGAGCGCTCGGGAGCCGCAGCTGTGGCCGGCCCACCTCGCACGGCGCGGCCGGCCGTAATGAGGGACAAGGTCCCTATGTGTCCACCTCACTGGCTGCCCACGGTTAGTTCTCCCTCCCCGGCCGCCCCCGCCACTCACGTGTGGGAATCGAGTTACCGACTCAGGCACCCACTCCTCAATTTTCGGACTTAATCCACACCGATACACGCGGTACGCAGTAGGCCCCACTCCCCGCCCCGCCCGGCAAGCTCACCGCCGCCGTGGTCTATGCAAACGAAGGGCACGCCGCCGACCCCTCGCCACGGGGCTCTCTCTGGGCTTTGGACGCGGCAAACAGAGCAACAACAACAAGCTCATCAATAATACGGTTAGTAATCGCACTGTGGGAAAATCGATCAAGAGGGAAAAGTTCACCCGTTCCGCTACGCACCTCAGCCAGAAATGGGGAAGTCGAATCGACCTTGAACGTTGGTTGAAAAATGTGACTTTGTCACTTAAGTCGAGGTTTCGAAGTCAGATCGACGTTCGATGCCATTTCGGTGCAATTTTCATTTCTGGGTGGGCGGCTCGTGCACACGGAGATGGCGTATTCGATGATCAGCGAGGAGAGAACAAAAGAGAATAGACCGGAGGGAGGGGGCAGCATCTCCTATGAGGAAGTTTTGCCTCTCAGCATTACATAACTGGTAACTGCCCCAGTGTACTCCAATGCAGACCTCTTAATCTACCCACCCCCCTACCCCTTCCCCTGCTCTATTTCCTCTCTGTCTCCCTTCGCCCTCTCCATGCTCCTCTCTCTCTATGTCTCTCTCTCCCTCCCTCCCGCCCTCACCTGCGTCACGCCCGTCGGCGACTCGGCTGCTGGATGCTACGTAATTATTACTTTTTTCGCAATTTCCGCAGTCGGAAATAGCATGCACGATATTATTTTGCCAGATCTAGCTACTTGCTCCTTGCTCCTACCTGCAGCCTTTTACAGGGTGTACCATCGGCCCCGTCCTGTTTTGTGGGGCACTATTTGGCTCTACCGCATGCAGGCGTGCGGGTTTGCGTATCGTCGTTCAAATCATGGCTCCTACTCTGTATATAAAAAGCAGTTGTTCGTTAGTGGGTGTGGTCCTGACATGCTCTCTCGTCTGTCTCTCCAGGAATCCGTCAGCCATGCAGACCTCCACCGTGGTGCTGGTCGCGGCCCTCGCCATGGCGGCCTTGTTCACAGCAGTACGCGCAGCCCCCATGGGCGGGTGAGTACATGAGGAGTCGAGGAAGGAAGGAAGAGGAAGATTCTCTTTTGAATTTATATTTGTGGCGTGCGAGTGGGGAGTGGGCTGGCCGATGGGAACGGACTGACCCGCACCGGTTGACCGAACGGACAAGGAGTCCACCCCCGTCCGGGGAATCACACCTCCTGCCGCTGGCCTAACGCGCGTCGGAGGTGGGGAGGGAGGGAGGGAGGGAGTGCCCTCATGTCGAATTCATAAGCAATCACAGTTGACCAGCCGCGGGACCCCGCCGCGCCCGGCCGCGCCGCCCACACGGACCGTGACAAATATCCACGCGCAGGTGCGGCCGGGAGCGCGCGGCTCTCCCTCGCACGCTAGGTGTGAGCGCGCGGCTCTCCCTCGTTCTCTCCCGCAACACTAATTACGCCAACCTAATGGCCGCGGCGGGCGGACTCTCCTCTAATGGGCGGCGCGGCGAGGGAATTCCCGAACCGGCCTCGCAGACTCTCCGGCCTTACGCTATGAACAGTAAATGAAGGGGAGTCGTGAGTCGTCAGCAGCGCTGCGCTCATCTCGCATCCCTGTTTGACTGACAACCGGCCAACAGAAGCGCGCAGCACGTTTCTTTCTTTCTTTCTTTCTTTCTTTCTTTCTTTCTTTCTTTCTTTCTTTCTTTCTTTCTATTATGTTTATTATGTTAAGGAAGAAAAGAGTCCCCCTTCATGAGATACAGTTCCAAAATGCCACAGACGTCGACATGACTTGTGCCCGGCAATCAAACAATGTACATTTGTAAACATATTCACTGTAAATTTTAATGACCTTTATTCAATGCAACAACGTACGTACGGTCCAAAATTTTATTGCTCGTGTGGGAACGATTAAAAGTTAGTGCAATGCATTGACATGCAGACTTGCACGTAATTTATTGCATTTGAAATAACAGTGGAAGGATAGGGACCGAAGTAGTGAAAGAAAATGAAAAACACTTTGTGTGAACGAACCCCGTGGAGACAACCTAGATCTCTTTATTTTGGTACGAGCTCCCACCAGAGCTCCCACCCAACACGGAAAAAAAAAAGATTCGCTGAGCCAGCTAATATATTGACTGGTATCTGGACAGACAAGCACATAAACTTCTGTAACCACTATATTGTCTACTCTAATCAATCATTGGCTGTGCCAGTCAAAGATAAGTTGTAAGAGCTCATCCCTTACCTAAATCAGTCGAGGTCTACCTTACTGATGCAGGCAAATCATTACTTCATACAACTTATCTTTGACTGGCACAGCCAATGATTGATTAGAGTAGACAATATATAGTGGTTACAGAAGTTTATGTGCTTGTCTGTCCAGATACCAGTCAATATATTAGCTGGCTCAGCTAATCTTTTTTTTTCCGTGAACAGAGGTGAGCCGTGTTCCAATCCTACTTGAACTTCAGGTCGGTCCTGAGGCATAACACCAACGTCAAACGGAAAGCGAAAAATCTTGCCGAGGCTTGAGTCGAACCGTCGACCTCCCAAGCTCTGGCCGGGCGCTCCCCCATTGACTGAGCCATAGAAATAAATACAGGCTGTCGCTGCAGGGGACGAGCGATTCTACGCAGCCGCTTCCGGCTAAAAAGAGTCTGCAAGAAATTTTTTGTTCAAACAGCGTGTACTTATTTGTGCAGTTTTGAGTGCGGGGAACACGAGGGGGAACAACATTTTATAAGGTGGCCAACCTTTTTGGTGTTCCTTTGGTGTAAGGTCATATGACGCCCCCCCCCCTCCTCCTACACCCCCTCTTGCCACGCTTGTATGAGAGTGTGGCAGAAACGAGCCTAACATGTTCGTTTAAAAAGTAAACAAGAGAGAGAGAATCTTAGTCAGGCCTGGAAGACAGTGTAGCGGGGGGGCCCTGGGGCGCTTCCCGAAGGCTGGGTCGTCTCAAAGCACCGGCCGCCGCTACTAATTGGAGGTGGAGCCAAACGGGTTAAATAATCAATCCGGGCATTATTAGTGGGGGAGCTGGCGGGAGCAGTAGGAGCAGCAGCAGCGGGACATAGAGGCGGCCAAGTGGGAAGCACCGAAGGTGCCGGGCGGAACTGTGGGACACCCATACTCCGTTCTGTGTGGCATTCCGGCTCTTATTACGGCATGGCAAGGCTCACAATCGTTTGCACTTGAACCAAGAGTGATTTCCCACCGCCCGATGTCCCACACAATTACAGCCCAATCGTGGATGGAACGATAAGATTATTTCAAAATATCGCAATATCGCGCCTGTGCTAATTAGCTCGTCAACTTAAAATGAACACGTTTTGAATTTTCTTCAGTGATCACACTGGAAAAACAAAGGTGCGATATCCTACCTTTCCAGGAGTGCTAAACCCGTTTTGGGGGTGCTGAAGTGTGTATTTTGGTATACATTGTCCGCTCATTCCTCGTGAAATTCCACGTCAAACGAGCCTACATGTGATGGGGTTCTGATAAGCAGTTAGCAAAATGAAAAGCAAGTCAAAAAAAAACAAAAACAACTTCTATCAATTTATGCCATTTTTAATCAGAACCCCATCACATGTCGGCTCGTTTGGCTCGGAATTTAGCGTAGATTACGAAAATAGGTCTTAGAACCCAATTTTATGCCACAGGAACGAATATTTCAAAAAACGTAAACTGTAGTGTAGTGCCTTATTTAGAGCATTAGTGCCTTCACTATGATAAACTTGACTAAACTTCTCTGAACACTTGCAAGTATTTAACTTGCAGTTGCACACTTACAAGTGTTGAGCAGTTGAACAATTAGTTTATCAGTGTTTTAAGGGAGGATATCCTACCTTTGTTTTACCAGTTCACATAATTTCGCTTACACAGCTGAAAGAAAATTCTGCTATTGACTTCAAGTGCGTTCAAGCTGGTCGGAAACACTGCAACCATGTCCGTTTGGGCTGTGGATTATTATTTGGATGAAAGTCTGACCAAAATTGCATGGCACTGACGAGTAATCCTCGTTCTCCTCAACACGGAGTAGATGCGGTGTTGGTAAAAAAGAAGGACGAGCGGCGTATTGGGGGTAAGCCTGGCCCTTCTGGAGTTTGTAGTACGCTTCCTTTCACTAACACCCCCCCCCCTCTTTTCTCCTTAGACCCTCCCCACTCTCGCACGCCTCTCCACGGCACGCTTCGACACGCCACGGCGAACGCTTGCTTGTGTGATTACGGCCACAAATTCAATCATAACTAATCCGGTGTGGTAGTCGTCTCGTCCCTCACGCCCC